AGGAGTTTATCTCACTTGATGAAATTGAAAGAGAGCACTGTTGAATATGATACAGTAATTCAAGCAGTTAAAATTTACTGAATAAATGGCCTTACTCACCAATTACGGGTTTATGAACCAGGAAGTGGGGCCTCACCAGATGCTGAATCTGCAACACTTGGATCTTACACTTTCCAACCTGCAGAACTGTGAGAAATAAATTTCTGTTGCTTGTAAGCCACTCAGTCTATGTGGTAATTTTGTTACAGCAGCCCAAACAGACTAAGATCTCATGTAAGTGGAAAATGTTGGCTAAAATAATGAGTTGCTATCCCACTGGGAATTTTAACCAAGTCCTACACATTAGCTATAGATCTCCAGTACACCTCTTGCAGCTAAGTATTTGGTTTATCTTTTAAATATATGCACCATCTTAGAAGGAATAACAAGAATATTAATTTCTTTTCTTAGTATCTCACTTTTATTTATATAGGTGAATCAGGTTACCTACTAAAGTAGACGCTACTATTACACACTCAACATTCATCTATTTATCCCCTTATTCTGTTAGAAGGCAGACGAGAGTCAGTAAAGTATCCTCCAAACTGAGAAGGCACTTTGAGACTAGAAAAATGATACAAGCCACCCCATGACCTTTACAGACTCTTACTCAGGGTAATTTAGAGGGAGAATCTGGCAGACAGAGGATCCAAAGTACTATGCAGCTACTCTTGCTAAGTCCAGACCTTAATTCCCAGCTTCTATAGAGCCAGGGGCATGGTGGTGAGGTCACAGGTCACAGGGTAATTATCTCAAGTGGTGTCACCTGTGTGCCAGTGCTATCTCTACTAGTTTTCTAAAGTGGAAACTTCTGTGCATCACTTTAGAGACAATCAGAACAAGCCTTCCGTCATTCACGTCAGGGCATGCATTAACCTCCATGGGGCCTGAACCATGTAGTCCCAAGGGAGGTCACTACGAGGGCACAAACTAGATGGAGGCCAAAGATGGAATCAGTGTTGTCAGCCCTCCTACACTGCCCTTAACATTTCTGCCTTTTTAACATAATCCTAATTCTGTTTACCTTCCCCACATTGTGTTTCAGAAGAAGCTGCCCCCACCTCACATGTGGGATATGAATCTCAATTGGCCTGAGCCCATCATGGATGCCTCACCACCCTTTTTCGTGATAGGTACAGACAGTTGAAGCAACTTTAAGTAAAAAGATATGAGAGGAAATCTGCTTAAGGGAAAGGCTTTCATTAGTCTTTTTTTTTTTTTACAAATAGTTTATTGTCAAATTGGTTTCCATATAACACCCAGTGCTCATCCCCACAAATGCCCTCCTCCATGCCCATCTCCCCCCTCCCCCCCACATCCATCAGTCCTCAGTTTGTTTCTCAGCATTCAAGAGTCTCTCATGGTTTACCTCTCTCCCTTTCCCCCACCATTTCCCCCCTTCTTCTCCCCCATGGTCCTCAGTTAAGTTCCGCCTAATCCTCCTATACGTGCAAACATATGGTATTTCTCCTTCTCTGCCTGACTTATTTCACTCAACATAACACCCTCAAGGTCTTAAAGAAGGGCGGAACAGGGGCTCCTGGGTGGCTCAGTCGGTTAAGCATTTGATTCTGGGTTTCAGCTCAGGTCATGATCTCACAGTTCATGGGATCGAGTCCCATGTCAAGCTCTGTGCTGACAGTGCAGAGCCTACTAGCGATTCTCTCTCTCTCTCCCTCCCTCTCCTGCTCTAAATAAATAAATAAATAAATAAATAAATAAATAGAGGCAGAATATAAGTTCTTTTTCTGCTTCTGATTATCATCTGTAATCTGAAACTAAGATAGTCATTTTAAGACCATAAGGGAAGCCAGATTGGAAAACAGGCCAACACACTTAAAAAATGGCAGAGCAGGGGCACCTGGTTCAACTCTCCATTTTGGTTCAGGTCATGATCCCAGGGTGGGTGAGATTGAGACCGATGTCAGGCTCCATGCTGACTGCAGAGCCTGCTTGAGATTCTCCCTCTCCGCCTCTCCTCTGCTAGTGCTAACATTAAAAACATTTGTTTTTAAGTTAAGAAAAAACAGCAGAGCAAAAAGAGGGAAAGGACCTGGCCCCTTGAAAACATTGTCAAGCCATATTTGCCATATTTAGTTAGTTGACACCCAATCCCAGGGGTGGCCTTACACATGTTAGCTATCTGGGATAGTAAAAAGGCTTAAACAATAAGGAAGTTAGTAAGGTTTTCTATCACTACAGTTGAAAGCATTCCTCTCTCAACAGTTCCACTCCTAAGCAGTAGACTTCTCCATATAAGTGACTGTGGTAGACTGGATGCAAGGGTAATGTCCTTCTATGTTCAAGCTGCTCTTCCTGTTAAAAGGTGGAGTCTATCTCCCCTTCCCATGTGTCTAATCCTTCTGCCAACAGAACACCACAGAAGTAATGTAATGCCAATTTCAAACCTAGGTCTTAAGAGAACTAGCCTGTTCCCTTTCTTCACTTTTGAAAGCCCTGCACCATATAAAGTGCTAAACTCCTTAGGCTAAGCTCCTGAATGATAGAGACTACATTGCGAGAGGTTTTATGGAGAATCCAGTAACTCCAGCACCAAGACCACAGCAATGTGAGTGAAGCCTTCTTGGACCTTCCAGTCTGGGTTAAGCCTTGGGGGCTGACACCTCATAAAGCATGAGCTAGCTAGCCATCTCTGCTAAGCCCTCCCTGAATTCCTGACCACAGAACTGTGACCAATAAAATACCTGCTGTTTTACTTATGCAGCAACAGATAACTGAAACATGTTAATATTATTTGTTCTCTTGATTTATAAAATTACTATAGTTGGTTCACAATGATTAAGAACTAAAAGCTAATTATTTTCCCCAAATATGTGTGTCCTAATTGTCTTAGCTCACAAAAGATGTTTCTAAGTATGCATCACCTTGTACCAAAATTTTAAAAATACAAAGAAAATATTTGTAAAAACTGAGAGTTGGTATCATTAGCAAGTAAAAAAAAGGTCTTGCAAATTTAAAGAAAAAGAGCAACACTTCAATTTTTAAAATGATAAAAGCCATTTCCTTGAAGAACCATATATAGTCAATAAACATGACAAGAAAATACCTTAATCTCAAACTCATTCATCTAAACGAAATTGAAGTTAAAACAACATGAAGCATCATTTTTCATCTACTAAATGGCCAAGAAAAATTTATATGCTAAGTCTAAATGACTGGATTCCACTGAAAAAATGGGAAAACCCTCCGTTACAGTCGTAGTCTGGGACGCCAGTCTTCTTGAACGACGGGGACTCGGGTGTCGGTGTTCACGCGATGCTTGACTTTGGGCACCGTCTATGGCTGTACGGTGAGCATAACAAAGACACCGCACAGAGCTGCTGTAAGGCTAAAATAATATGCATGCGGAGGAGCAAAAGAAATGGTTGTTACTTTTTGTTCAGTTTGTTCATCCACGTGTTTACTCTTGTCGGAAATACTAGAAACGCACTAGAATCACAGGAAAATCTTAAAACTTTTCTAGAAAACTGCTGGGGAGATGATACGGGGCGGTGCCGGTGGTACGTCAGGGTACGAGGCAGCCAAGGTTGGGAGCAGTGCCTTCTGAAGTGGGGCGACCTCTCAGAAGGACGCACGCCACACGACTCACTCACACCCAGGCCTCGACGCTCCGCGGGGCTCCCGGCCAGAGACGGAAGGCAGTGGGAACGAAGGATCCACGGCGCTGATTGGCTGCCTGTGAGCACGGGGCGGGGAACACGGAGGCTCCCGAGGATGCGCGAGCGGAAGGCCTTTGGCGCGCACTTCCGGTCTTTGTGGCTGGCCGCTCGGAGTCGGCTGCTTGCTCTCTGGCCGCTGCTGGGCTTCCCGGTGAGGGACGCGGGCCCCGAGCGGAGGGAGGGCTGGGAGGGCCCGCGGCTCGGGCGGCTGGCGCAAGGTGAACGAGCCCTGCTCTCCGGCCTGTCCTCCCTGGGTCGTGACCCCCCTGTCCGGGCGGCTTTTCTGAGCGTCCTGGGGACCAGAGGAGGCCAGCTCAAGCCCTTGCTTTCCAGCGGAGAGGGCAGTTACTCCCCCACCCCGTGACTTCGCCAGTGCTGTGGTTTAGCCGGGATACAAAGATATACAGGCTAATGCGGCCGGGCAGGCTTAATAAATCTAAATGTTAACTTAAATATGTCTGATCTCTAAAGTTATTGGTACTGTTAGGATCAAATTGTAATTGACCTGTTGTTTCAAGGACATACCCTCCTATCGATATTCACCCATCCTAGCTAGAATCAGGTCTTCTATCGCAAAATTTAATACATAATTATCTGTTCCCGTATTTTACCAAAAAAAAAAAAGTTTTCTTCCGTATATTTTAAGCTTTAGAACGGAGATTGACCTTTTTGCTGCTTTTGTGCCTTTGTGATAATTGATACCTCTTTGAACACACGGTAAATGTTTAACAAACACTTCTTGGTTAATTCTTCTGTAAATTCATTTACTCACAAGCGTAAATCTTTGTATTCTTATGCCTGGCTCACGACTGAGCTCGTGTAAGTGCCTCCATGTTTGTTGAAGAAATGCATTGAAAACCAAATTTGATCAAATGGCAATTATCAAAATGTTTTTATTTAAATCAACACCTGTTCAATATGAATTTTTTTAAATGTTGTTACTACTATAAATGAAAATCATTCTTATTTGCCATAGATAGAAGGTAAATAAATTCTAGATAGGTTACTCTTGGAAGTCTGAGGGTTATACTTCATTAAAAAGGGAGTTCTCCAAGTTTTACAGACAAGTTAAAGACGGATTTTTCTCCTTGATACCAACAGGATTGAAAGAATTGAAAAGGAAATTTCTCAGTATGTGATTCATGTTAATACTGCATTCTTTTGCTTCTAAAATAATTTCTTAGAGCGTTAATGGTAGAAATTCCACTATGGAAGACAAATGGGATGAGTGACTTTTAGTTTGTTGCTTGATTATTTAGTTACAGTCTCAAACTTGTTCCCTTTCAATGCATTACTGAAATGACTGATCTTTATTATAAATTCTTAGGGGTTTGGTTTTCACTACTAAGTTAACAGTGCTTTTGTATCTTTCAGGCAAGAAGAAATTACCCAAAGAAACTCTGAAGTACAGTACCCAGTTGTAGTAAGTGCTTTGCTAAGCTGTTCAACCCAGAATGGCTGTGGAATCTAGAGCAGTTTCAACCCTGGTACCTCAGAATCCTCAGGAACAAGAACTAATACTAGTGAAAGTAGAAGAAAGCCTTTCCTGGAGTCAGAAGTTTAAGCAGAGTGGGAGTACCCGATCCTGCCAAGAACTGTTTCGCCAGCAATTCAGGAAGTTTTGCTACCAGGAGACACCTGGACCCCGGGAAGCTCTGGGCCGACTCCAGGAGCTTTGCTATCAGTGGCTCATGCCAGAGTTGCACACGAAGGAGCAGATCCTGGAGCTGCTGGTGCTGGAGCAATTCCTGAGCATCCTGCCTGAGGAGCTGCAGATCTGGGTTCAGCAACATAGTCCGACAAGCGGCGAGGAAGCTGTGACCCTGTTGGAAGATTTGGAGAGGGAATTTGATGATCCAGGGCAGCAGGTAGGAACAGGGAGATGTGCTCTGTTGTAAGGAAGAGTCATTTACAGAGCGGAGCATGTAGTGTCCTCATAAGGAGGAAGCAAATTTGTCTGTACTGAACCACACCTTGAAGTGACCACTGGGCCCATACATGTCTCCAGCCTTAAATAGTTCTTTTTTTGCCTGTTGCTCATCCCTGGGGATGTCATTGACCTATTTCACATTTTCACTGAGCATTTTCCCTGGAGAGTTTCTCACAAAGCTAACCATGTTTTAACTGATTTCAGGGACCAGCAGTGCCATGGAAGGATCTGACATGTCTTGGAACATCCCAGGAGTTAACAAACATCCCACTCCAGCCTTTAAAGGCACAGCTGAAACCCTGGGAACCTCGCCTTTCCCCCAAAAGTGGTAAGAAAATAGAAACTCACCTGGGAACTGTTATCAGGCCTCTAGTTTTGAGGATACAGAAGCAGTTCCATTTTACAAACATGCCACATATGAGCCTCCCCTTTATTACTCTAGCCCAGGGGTGTTCACATCAGCAGCTGTGTGTTCAGCCCTCAGGAAATGCAGCCAGTCCTCCTTGTGTCAGTGTCCCTGTCATCTTTTCATTTATTCCTTGATTATGTAACTTAATAGGGTACTAATACATGTCTTCTGCTGTGGTAGGCACTGGGTCTCTGCTTCAAGGAACTTTTATATCTAGATGAGGTAGACAAGCAGAAAGGCAATTGCAAAATAGTATAGTAAATTCTAGAATAAAAGTGGGCTCTAGATGCTATGGGGGCACATATGAACACACCTAACCCAACCTTGGAGGCTCAAGAAGTACTTCTTGGAGGAGGAGACATCTAAGCTAAGATTTGAACAATGATTAAGGAGAAAACTAGGTAAATAGGATGGGAAAAGGTTTTTTATACTCAGAACACTTCTGACAATGGACATGTGGGGGTTTTCCTTCACATTAAGCAACACTAATTCTGACACACCAGAATTAGCGCAGCCCCAACAGGTACAGTGTCAGTCCCACAAGACTGCCCCACTCCCTACCCCCTGCTTCAGATCCTAATCGCATGTAACGAATCCCCAGGTTACCCACACTTCTTTCCAGTTTGGCTGCCATTCAGACATTCCATGACCACCACCTCAGGTTTCATAATTTGCCAGAATAGCTCACAGCACTAGGGAAACACCTTGCTTACTGTTACCAGTTTATTATAAAGGACACAGGTGAACCAGTACTTAGGTCAAGATCCAGAAAGGTCCTGAGCACAAGAGCTTCTCTCCCACGTGGAGTTAGCAGTTCACCACTGTCATGGCACTTGGATGCACTCATCATCCTGGAAGCTCTCTGAGCCACTTTAAGGTTCTTATAGAAGTTTCATTACATAGGCATGGTTGATTAGATCATTCACCGTTGGTGGTTAACAATCTCCAGCCCCTCTCCCTGGAGGTCAGAAGGTGCGGCTGAAAGTTCCAGCCTTCTAATCAATATGTTTGTTTCCTTTGGCAGCCAGCCCCTACCCCTCCATGAGTTACCTCATTAGCATAAACTGAGGTACTGGTTGATGGGGGCTTATTATGGATAACAAAAGACACTCCTCTCACCTCTACCACTTAGGAAAGAAATTGCAAGGGTTTTTAAAGCTTTGTGCCAGGAACTGAGGATGAAGACCAAATATATATGTCCTATATTATAATACCGCACAAGCAAAGGTCACAAAGTTCTGAAGGTGGGAAAATACAACCCATTCTGGGAATTGCAGGTGATTCAATTTAAAAAAAAATTTTTTTTTTATTATTTCTAGGAGAGAGAGATACAGCGTGAGCAGGGGAGGGTCAGAGAGAGAGGGAGTCACAGACTGAAACAGGCTCCAGGCTCTGAGCTGGTAGTCAGCACAGAGCCCGACACAGGGCTCGAACCCATGAACCGCGAGATCATGACCTAAGTGAAAGTCGGATGCTTAACCAACTAAGCCACCCAGGCGCCCCTCAGGTGATTCAGTTTAACCTGAAGAGAGAATTCATAGGGGAGAGATGCTGAGACATAACCAGAGAGGTAAAGGGGACCCAGGTTGTGAAAACTTGTAGGACATCTTAAGTAGTTTGAACCATTGCAGTGGAGCACAGTTGAAAGGTTTTGGACAAAGGGGTAGTTGATTAGATTTGTCTTTTAGAACTTAGCTGCAGAGTGGAGAATGGATTAGAGGAAAGTGAGAGTGGAGTCCAGTTAGAGACTGTTGTAATCTAAATGGCCACAGTGAATAAATTAATACATATTAAGGTGAGAGATGGGGATGATCAAAGCTGCCTCCTGTTGACCACCATTTAAGTTGCATTGCAGTAGCTGGTCATGGTTAAAAGTGGAGCGTGTAGGAAAAGAGTTGAGAATGATAGCAGGTTTTAGTCTTGAACAGCTTGGTTAATGATGGTGCTATTCATGTAAATGGGAAAATAAAGGAGAAAAAGATATGTCTGATAATGTGCTTAGTCTGGGCCATTTGGGGGCTTGTGAAGTATTCATAAGCAATGTCCCAGCCAACACTGGATAGTCTAGAGCTTATTAGAACTGGGATAGAACTGGGGACCTGGGGAGACATTCGCTTATAACCTAAGTAGTGATTGAAACCTAGGTTGTAGAGAGTTTGTAGAGTGAGGATACATGAGAACCCAGAACAGAATCTGAAGGACCTTGTGTTTGAATGATTGAGCTTAAGTCTAAGGAACACCCCCAGAAATCAGGCTAATTCAGCTGGAAGAGAAATGTCTCTAGAAAAAAAGGTGTGGTCCCCAGTGTCAGTGCTACAGAGAAGCCAACTAAATAAGATCCAGAAAATATTTACTGGATTAAGCAACTATGAAGTTGGTGACCTTGATGAAAGTAGCATGGTGGAGAGGGGGTGTACTGGTAAGGCAGAAACCAGATTGTAGAACAGAGATAATTAAAGATAACTCTTTCAAAGAGCTTCACTCTGGGCACCTGGGTGGCTCAGTTGGCTGGGCATCTCATCTTGATTTTGGTTCGGGTGGTGATCTCGTGGTTCATGAGATTGATCCCTGCATTGGGCTTTGCGCTGAGCATGAAAGCTGCCTGGGATTCTCTCTCTTCCTCTCCCTCTGCCCCTCCCCTGCTCATGCTCATGTGTGTGCGAGTGCTCCCTCTCCCTGTCTCTGTCTGTCTCTCTCTCTCTCTCTCTCTCTCTCTCTCTCTCTCTAAATAAACTTAAAAAGAAGAAGAAGCATCAGCTTTACTCTGAATGGAAGTGAGGTTGACCAAGGGAGACATGTAGGCAAGGAGCTTGATTTGAAAAAAAAAAATGAGAAATTTGAGCATATTTAAATGGTGATGAATAGGAGTCAGCAGAGAAACAGGTTGAAAATAATAGGAAACGAATAGTGGGTAATTGATCAATTGAAGTGTCAGAGGAAGTAGGAAAGAATAAACTTCAAAGTGTAGACATAGGCCTTCGTATTCGAGAGGAAGAGGGCCCTAGTACGGCACGTTAAAGAAAGATGTATGTGGACAGTGACCTCTTTTGTAAGTAGAAGCCTGTAGTTCCTCTCACATGGAAAGTAGCTGTTAAGGCTGACTGGAGAAATAAAACAGTCTGTTTTTTTGCTGTTGTCATTTCAGATTGTGAGAACAGTGAATCAGCAACAAAGAAGGACATTTCAGGAGAAAAGTCGCAAGGACTTCCCCAGGAACCTTCATCTGGAGGAGTTAGTGAACATGAGAGCAACTTAGAGTGGCAACAAGGAAGTGCTGCAGGGGAGAAGTTAAGAAGATCCCCTTCCCAAGGGGACAGCATTAGTCACGTAATCTTCACACACAAATCCCTAGGAAAGAGAGACCATCATGAGCCTCAGAGTAGCTTGATTCTAAGTACAAACTCTGTAACTTATCAGAAAGTTCCTACAGAAGAGAGACCTTATAGATGTGATGTATGCGGGCACAGCTTCAAGCAGCATTCCTCTCTAACACAACATCAGAGAATCCATACTGGAGAAAAGCCCTATAAATGTAACCAGTGTGGGAAGGCTTTTAGTTTGAGGTCATATCTTATTATTCACCAGAGAATTCACAGCGGTGAGAAGGCATATGAATGTAGTGAATGTGGGAAAGCCTTCAATCAGAGCTCGGCCCTCATTAGACATCGCAAAATTCATACTGGTGAAAAAGCTTGTAAATGTAACGAATGTGGCAAAGCATTCAGTCAAAGTTCATATCTCATTATACATCAAAGAATTCACACTGGTGAGAAACCCTATGAGTGTAATGAGTGTGGGAAAACGTTTAGCCAAAGCTCAAAGCTTATTAGACACCAGCGAATTCATACAGGAGAGAGACCTTATGAATGTAATGAATGTGGAAAAGCTTTCAGGCAGAGTTCAGAACTGATAACCCATCAGAGAATACATAGTGGGGAGAAACCCTATGAATGTAATGAGTGTGGAAAAGCTTTCAGTCTGAGCTCAAACCTCATCAGACATCAGAGAATTCATAGTGGAGAGGAACCTTATCAATGTAATGAATGTGGCAAAACTTTCAAAAGGAGCTCAGCCCTTGTTCAGCATCAGAGAATCCATTCTGGGGATGAAGCTTATATATGTAATGAATGCGGGAAGGCTTTCAGGCACAGATCAGTCCTTATGCGCCATCAGAGAGTCCATACTGTAAAGTAACTTGTGAATATAGTGAATGTTGTAAATATTTTGGTCAGATTTATATCTTTGTTAGTTGAAAGGGTTTACTTTGGAACAAGACTCCAGGCTGGGAAACTACCAGGTCTTGAGTCATTCTGAGTTAGTGCAGCACTTCTCAATGTTACTGCAAATTGTCCCTTGAAAGCTTGTCCTGTGACTAATCAGAACAGCAGGTGGGAAGAATCACTGCTTCTAGCTTTTCTCTTACCGTTAGGAATACTCAGGAGATAAGAAAAATGGGAATATAACATTGAAACCTCATTTTCCATGAGAATGTCACAAAGAGGGTACAGCAACCCAGGCTGTGTCACTGCATCTGATTGTCCACATACCAGCTTTGGGATATGGTGTGGACAGTATAAGGGACATTTTGTCTCAGGAATCCAAAAAATTTACTGACCGATTAAGGCCAGTTACAGGGCAGCAAGACAGATGGAGAAACAGTTCATCAGTGATTTACTGAGCCTATGACAGCCCAGAAATGAGGTAGTGGGGAAAAAAAAAAAATTAGCTTATCCAACAGCTATTTTTTGAGGGCCTGCTTTGTGCCAGGCACTAGGAATATAGTGGCAAAGATAGTCTCTACAGTTTAATGGACAAGGCAGACAGGCAGGGACACTAGTATGATCACTGCCATGTGACATTAGGAGTACCTGACCCAACCTTGGATCAGGGATGGTTTCGAAAAAAATGATTGAAGGATGAGTAGGAGTTAGGAAAGTAAACAGGCAGGCTGGGGAACAACATTCCCAGTAGAGGGAACAATAGATGAAGGTCAGGAAGAATGAAGAATGTCTGGCACGTCTGATAAATTAAAAGGCTGTTTTGTGTAGAGCATTCCTGTTGAGTTCCTTTTGAGGTGGAGCCCTGTCTGTCAAGAGAAGCATGGATGTAGCCAGAACCTGTGAAGCAGTGCTGGTAGTAAAACAGGAGGCAGTGAAGAAGCTTCTATTACTGGACAAAACCTGGAGTTCTTGGACCACAGGGTAGAGAGGAGCTGTCTGTCTTTTGTGAGCTGGGTGAAGGGTTAATAACTAGTCCCCTTGCCTGTAGGCTAAGCTAGACATTGGGGGTGGAGGGGGTCAGAAAGAGCCCAGCCTAGTGGTTAAGAGGTTAAGCATCTATTGGAGTCCTGAATCTTCCCTTTTCCTAAACAGAAGATTCCTCTGGTTTTTAAGACTGTCAGAGCTGCTGTCTTTGTCCTGCTAACTGCCAAGGCTCTGGGTCAGAAGCTGCTATGGCTACCACATTTGTTTCTGGGGCTACACCCCCACACTTCTAGTGTACTCCCTTGGGCTCAGGTGGTAAAAAATGTCAGAGTGACAGGCACCTCACACATGTTCAGTGTGTCTTCTATCAGAAGTATTTCAGTATTTTGTGAATTTTGTTAAGGACAATGGCAACATACCAATTATGGTCCATCCAGAGACTGCTCTCCTCTGAGGGATCCATCAGGAAATGTAGCCCTTGACTGGTGCTTCTCAGTGCAACGCTTTAAAGGTGAATAGGTTAGTCAGCAACAGAAAAACATGTTAAGAATACCAAACAGGTCAGAGTTCTAACACACCTTACCAAAAACAGAAATCTATGGGAATCTAGAATTTTCATGAGGATAAGTAGACAGCACTCTTGTTGGGGCATCTGTAGATGAGCAGGTACTAACCAGTAAGAATGGCAGGTGGACTAAATGCCCATGCTTTGAGAGAGAAAACAAAGAGATAGGATAACAATGTGGTAAGAGCTATTCATATTCAACTCTTAGTTTTCCTCTCAAGATGAAGACTCAAACTGAAAAGTGTAGGGCAGTTGTTAAGTAGGAATTGATAAAACATATTACAAAAGGGAGAGATTCTTTATAAAGAGTTCTTAACATTTAACAGTAAGAAACATAATACGTACTTTGTTGAGGGCTTTGTATATATGTATCTGTTGTTTCTCCAACAGCTCATATTTTGCAGATGAGGAAATGAAGGTTTAGGATCATGGCTTAGTCAATATCCTCTATCTCTAAAAAGTGGTGAGGTTAGACTTTGAACCCTGGCAATAGGAATCCAGCACCCTTCTGTGGAGCCACTTATCTTTAGTCTCTCCCCATGAAAAATCCCCAGGAGAAAAGATTGTCCTTAAGTAAGTAAGTTACAAAAGAACAAATGCCAATGGATGACAAATGGTCAGCCTCGCAAAATGTGTATTAAAGCAGGAGTTGAGATGGCACTTTTTTTCCCCTCATCAGACGAAGATTCAGGGAACCTGGGAGTTCAGTGCTGCTGGAGAGATGTGAATAGATACTGTCTCTGGCAATCAATACCAGAAGCCTTAAGCATTGCCTTGTGACTTTAAAATTCTACCTGGAAATGTATGCTTCAGAAAACATCATGAATGTATACAGAGTCTTAAAAGCTGTTAAAGTGATGTTGATTGATGTCAAAAGAAATGACAGCGTATCTTAGGTAAAAATATAACATGTACAGTATGACTCCATGTAAAAGTATATTTATACATTAAAAATATTGGAAATACGTAATCACAGACTGCTATACCAGCTATCTGGTGATAAATTTATAGGTGATTTAACTTTTTCTTGTGATTTTCGGTGTCTTCCAAACTCTCCTACAATACATACTTCTAGACCTAGAGAAAAGGTTAAAGGAATGAAAGCCCAGGATAGTCAAGAAATTCTAAGTACCTGGTTTCTGTAGCATCTCTGTCCCTCCTAAGTCCTGGGAGGTTGTTAACTCCCACATGATTTCATCATTGTTAACTAACAGTGGCAGACACACCCATCTCACTAGTGTACAAAAAAAGCCCTCTATAAATTAAAAATATCCGTTCAAATACAAGTTATTTGCATGAAGGTTATCTGTCGTTGAGAAAAGCAGGCTCGAAGTAGAGCTTTCTTGTTCATGTTAGTGCTTTTCCGTGAATTCTGCAGCCATGGGCAAGTCACCTCACGATTTAAAGGAGCTGGAGTAGATTATCTATAGTTAAAGCTTCAACATTCTATGTGTTTATGAAAGAGAGGAGCACCAATACAGATTTTCTTCTCTAGTCTTGCCAGAGAAAGTAAATAAATTGTGCTCAGGGCCCTCATATATTTTGGTATAGAGGCCATTCAGGGGAAGTAATGTTTATCTTAAATGGGTCTTGCACAGATTTATGAATTTTAAAAGATGTGCAGTTTAGGCAAGCTGCTTAATATCAGTTCCCTGCCTCTCGCCTTCTCCCTCCTTATTTCCATCGAGTGCAATTAACTGTTCGGCTGAGGATTGGAAACTTGAGCAAATCTGACCTTGGTCTTTTCAAGCTCCCTCATGAACACCTTTGTTTCTTTTGCCCCATTAAATGAATCCTCAAAGTGAGGGAGATTGCCAATTAAAACATTTCCCATGCAGAAGAAACCAACCTGGAGAGCATTTCTGCCAAGAGGAAGGGTGATCCCAATGGGTAGACCTCACTGATGACCACCCACCCCTTGCTTTTTGATGGGTCAGAGATTGCTACTCAGTAGCCTTAGCAGCAGCAGCTATCTTGTTAGCTGGTGCAAAGGATCACAAATCTAAAGAGTCATGGGGTTTTTCTGCACAGGTTTCTATTAAGGACCTGCTGAGAGGAGGGGAAGCTGGGGCAGTCTCCCAGACTCCTGCTCCTAAAGTGAATCTGGTGGACGCAATGTCTGTGTGTGTTTAAAGAGGCTACTTGCTCTGGTTCCCATGGTTTTTCAACCAGCTGTCCCCTAAATTTTGTGGCTTCACCTAGCCCAAGGGACTAGCTATCAGTTTCCTGAGACCTTTTGGCCAAGGAAAAGAAAAGTTAGGAACGCCAATTCCTTGACCTCTTGCCACAACCCCCTCCCCCAGCACACCTCCACTCGTGTTACCATGCTCCCTTTTCTAGAAAAAAATCATTTCAAAGCAAAACTTAAAATTCAAATTTTATTATATCTTGTAGTACATTCTAACACTAAACAGTGTAAGTATATCTCAAAGTATAAATGTTAAAATCAGTTACTAAAAATGATTTACCGAACAAGATTTATACCAATACTAGGGTTGGGGGAAGAAAACTAGAAAGTACTCCAAAATGTTAATATTTCTGTGGGTGTTAGGACTGAAGGTGATTTCTACTTTCTCATTTTCTGTATTACCAATGTTTACAATTAATTCACAATGGGAGGGGGTCTATTAAATAAAATTAACATGAAATCATCTGATTGTCACCTATAGGAAAAGGCAACTCCAACCATTTGAAGGGTCTCTCTAGACTTCTGATTGACCTCACTCAATGACAATCCCCCAACCTGTGGACATAAAGACAGTCCCCTCCCCCAATTTCACCTCCCCTGTTACCCATAACAGATTTGATCACCAAGTCTTCAGAAGTGACAGTATCTGGAAGGGAAATCAGGACACCTTAGAAGAGAAATCAAACCTTCTCTTACATACGAATTGCCTTCAGCAATTAATGGTGAGTTAATTAAAACTGCCAAAATAAAAATTAGAGAAGTAGAGTTTTGAGGAATCTAAGGGGGTAGTTCATTAAGTATTCATTGCCTTTAAGTAGCTTAGTATCTTCTATCTGGTGCTAAGGGGAGGGGACAGGAAATGAGGAACAGTAGACCCTAGGAAGGCAGACCTCTCACTCCTATGCTCCTGTCAGCTTCCCATTTCCTGAGCCCTAGGATCATGGGACACCAACAATATGTATTTTTCCTTGGTGTACATACATGCCTTTTTCCACATGATGCACCAAAGTCTACCATCACACTGTTGTGAGTACCTCAAGGTCTCTTAGGTCACTCTGGGTCTGGGATAGGCTACCCAAATCTGTGATTATAAACAGAGAGGAATCAACACATGTCCTCTGAACCAGGGTCTACGAGAACAAACTCCTGCAGGAGAGGAGTCCTGATAGAGACATCTCTAGATCCTCTCTCCATGCCTTCGTATGTGCTATAGCCTCTGCCTATAATGTTCTCTTCCCTCTTGCTTTGATCTGCCTAATTTGTACACACCATTATTCCTCAACAGAGATTTCATCACATCCAGGAAGCCTTTAGTGACTCCTAGGCCAGGTTAGGTACCCCCTCCCCACCTTGTATTTTGACAGGATCCTAGATTTATCCTGCCAACACACTTATCACACTTTACTGTAATTACCTGTTTAATAAATATATATGTATCTCATTAGCCCTTAACTCTGGGAGGGCAATGGCCATGACTGCCCCTGATGGCTGGCACACAGCAAGTGCTCAATAAATAAACCTCAGCTGAAGTCAGGAAGTTCAGGGCTGGGGAGAGAACTGGCAAGGGGGCAAAATGAGCTATAAACTGATCCAGGACATAATTGAACATTTCATAACCTCACAGTTCAACACTTCAGAGAACCGAATGACTCTCAGCACAAGCTTCCAACTGCCAAACGCACGATGTTCTTGCTGGGCAGAGATCCTTGCCATTGGAGCCACCACCTCTTAGCCCATCTTTTAAAAAGCTCTCTCAGGATCTCTGCCCCAAATCTGACCTTACTGTGTAAGTGCTCATTCAACATGTCAACAACCATCTGTGTGGATCTGCTTGTACAGTAAGTACTGACTCAGACAAAAAGGACAGAAACCCTGCTCTTGGGAAACTTCTTACTTTGGTGCAGTCTCACCCCTAAAGTGAATCCCTAGTATTACAAAAGTGTACAACTCTTACCCAAGACTTAAACTCTGGTGTGAGTTCTCTGGTGCTGCATAAGGCCTGACCTATGCCTAAATGTTTTCCTACATTCATTACATTCGTAAGGCTTCTCCCCAGTGTGGATTCTCTGGTGCTGCGTTAGGGCTGAGCTCTGATTGAAGGATTTTCCACATTCATTACATTCGTAAGGTTTTTCTCCAGTGTGAATTCTTTGATGTTCAATAAGGATAGAGCTTCTACCAAAAGTCTTACCACATTCAGTACATTCGTAGCCTTTGTCTCCAGTGTGAATTTTCTTATGCTGAATGAGGGCTGAGCTCCGGCTGAAGGCTTTCCCACATTCACATTTATAAGGCTTCTCTCCGGTGTGAATTCTCCGATGCCTAATGAGCTCTGAGCTGCCCCTGAAAGCTTTTCCACACTCACAGCATTCATAGGGCTTCTCACCACTATGAATTCTCTGATGTCTAACAAGGTCTGAGCTCAAGCTAAAAGCTTTGCCACACTCTTTACATGCATAAGGCCTCTCTCCAGTATGAATTCTCTGATGTCTAATCAGCTTTGAGCTCTGGCAAAAGGCTTTCCCACAGTCCAAGCACTCGTAGATCTTTCCCCCAGCGTGAACTCTCTGACGTGTTGCAACATTTGAGTTCACACTGAGAGTCCTTTCATTTTCGTTACATCCAAAGACACTCTCTTCTGTAGATATTTTCTTATTGAAGACTGTCAGATTAAGATGTCTTTCCTGAGAAGGGAGCTGACTCATTTTGTTCCTTGGAACTGTTCCTTTTGGCTTCTCAAAGATGTCCAGGCCTCCCAAAGCTTCTTCAACTATCTTTCCTGAAGGAGTTTCCCCAGGGAGTCTTCCTGGTGATATCATGGCTGTTGATGCTACACATTCAAAAATTTCTTGCTCTGTTGTTGTTAATACTTCATCACCCACCAGCTTGCCATCTAAAAATGTGAATAGAAAATACTAGTGTCATTTGATCCCCATGTTGGAAGAAAGGAACCTCTTATAACCAGAATAGAAAATAACCAAATAAAATAGGTATTTACCTATTAGGAAGAAATCTCTTAAGAACTAGCTTCCCCATCCAGAATTTTGAGAAGGGGCCTGGGGTAGTGTGAAAGGTGGCAGCCTCAGAGAGTAAGGGGGACAAAAAAGAGTCAGCACTGGAAAGGAGGGATGGTAAGCAGGGAAACACATCATTTGGAGGAGACAGTGATAAATAGGAGTAGCAGTAAGAGACCAGGAAGCTAGGAGACAGTCCTGGGTTAGAGGAGAAGATGCGTTTTTTTTGGTAATGAGGGAAAGGAAAAGAGGTGACAGGGAGTGCTCGGGAGGAAGAGAGAGGTCTAAGGCTCTTGAATAAGTGGTGCTCCTAAAAAAACATGAGAGCAGGATATACGATTAGGAAATGCTTTCAGGGTTAGAACTGGGCAGAGGTAGATAAACAGGAGCTAGAATGCATTAAGGCATTTGCAGGTTCTGGTAGGTTCTAAGTAGATCAAATGATTATAAGCAAATAGAATAAGACACACAGCATAAAAAAAGGAATATTCTGGGGTCAGATAAGAGTCTTGTATGTTCACTTCTTTATGCATACATGGTCAAAGGTAGATGGAAACAAGAGACAGCTGTGACTGCCTGGAGCCAAACTTCCAGCTCTCACACAATAAGCCCTTTTCATTTCGAGATTTTTAGTAGCTCAGAAGGAGACTATTAGATGAAGGCTGAGGCAACCTGAATTATTTTGAGGGTGAAAATCTAAAAAACTCTTCAGTTACTTTCATCCTCCTAAAAGTCCTCTAACCTCTGGGGTGCCTGGGTGGCTCAGTTGGGTAAGCATCCAACTTCGGCTCAGGTAATGATCCTATGGATTGTGAGTTCGAGCCCTGCCTCAGGCTCAAACCTGACCCTGCTTCAGATTTTCTGTCTCCCTCTCTCTCCGCCCCTCCCCTGCTCTCTCTCAAAAATAAATAAACATTTAAAAAAAAAAGTAGACAAAGGACACAGAATTCCAAGGAAAAAATACGAATGGCCAATCAGCAAATTAAATGATAATTCACTAGAAAATAGCTATAAACCAAAAGTCCACTAACCTTAAATGCAGTTTACAGACCAGAAAACTAAGGCTCAGAGAGGCAACATAACCTATGGAAGGCCATAGAATTCATAATTTAAGAACCAGGATTCAAAGATGGTCAACACCAAGGCTTGCAGTTTTCCCCTAAGTCCCTTCTGCTCTTTTCCTTACCTGTTCATGCGGCCTGTGTGATCTCAAAGCCTTTTAACTAGGAGTGTGGTCTTTAACTGCACATTTACAAACATGCTTTTAGCTTTAATATTATATAGATGATCCTTCACTGCCCACCCAGACCCGCTTTTCTTCAGGGTGCCTCCTCGCCCAGCTGCTATGAGTGTTGGCTCCTAACCACCCAGTTGCCCTCTTCTCTGGAGAGGTACCCTGGCTGATGAGAACTACCTGTCCCAGGATTTTATTTCCACCCTCGCTGCCCGACCCCCACCACCCTAAAAAGGGACAACTCAGCAGTGCAGTTAGGCTTGGGGGGTGGGGTACCCCAAGCCCCCAGAGATTAATCCAAGGCTAGTTTTTACCCAAGACCACATCATAACCCTGCTTCTCTCACTCCATTACAGACTTCTCCGGAAGAGCACACCCTACTTTAAATCACATGCACCTAAATCTCCACGTCTAAGGCTCTTCTTCTGGCAAGACATACTGTTAAGTTTATGAAGAATCTATGGAAAAATTATAACCAAGGGTGTAAGGTTGCAAAAATGACATGGTGACTTGTATAGTCCTATCAAGGTGGATCCCTCCAGTGTTTTATTTTTTTTTTAACTTTTTTTTTTTTTTAATGTTTTATTTCTAGGAGAGAGAGAGAGACAGCGTGAGCAGGGGAGGGTCAGAGAGAGAGGGAGTCACAGACTGAAACAGGCTCCAGGCTCTGAGCTGGCAGTCAGCACAGAGCCCGACGCGGGGCTCGAACCCACGAACCGCGAGATCATGACCCAAGCGAAAGTCGGACGCTTAACCGACTAAGCCACCCAGGCGCCCCATCCCTCCAGTGTTTTAAACCACAACCTAGGTGAACGATGTGAAATGCTCCACATTAATTCTTCCGAGGCAGGGCTCACCAATACCCTTAAGACTTGAAAAGAGAACAGCACAACGAGATTTATCAGTCAACATCATAATGTGCCACTCTGAAGGAACAAACAAAAACACAGTGCAATAGATGAGAGCTGGGAAATGAAATCTGTTCTATATTTTAAATTAATCAGATTCTCAATTTTTTTTTGTCTCCGTATTTCAAATGAATGTGGAGAAACTGAAGCATGTCCAGAGAACTGTGCTAAGACGACCAGAGAAATGGAACACAGATGGAATCAAAAGCAGTGGATGCTCAGTTAAAACAGGGTCAAAGGGCAGCATACTCATTACCTTCGAATACAGGTTGTGCTTTGTGAGGACTCTGCTAAACAAACCAAAGGAAATGGGATGAAATTAAAACTAGGAATATTTCAAATGGGCTCAGTCAAGAACTTTAGTTCTGTATTAGTTTGCTAGGGTGGACATAAAAAAATTCCACAGACTGGGAGGCTTAAAGAACAGTCAATTTTCTCACAATTCCAAAGGCTGGAAGTCTAAGATCAAGGTGTCAGCAGCTTTTGTTTCTTCTAAGGCTCATGACTCACTGTGTCCTTACACGGTTGTCCCTCAGTCTGTATTGTTTGTGTCCCAGTCTCCTCTTCTTATAAGGATACCAGTCACACTGGATTAGCGTTCACCCTAACAATCCCATTTAAACTTAGTTACCTCCTTAAAGTCCCCATTTCCAAATACAGTCACAAATACAGATACTGGGGGTTAGGGCTTTGACATGTGAATTGAGCAGGGAGCACAATTCAGCTTATAAAAAATATGAAAAGGCTCATGAAAGCCTTAAGAAATTATATCAGAGTCTGTTTCTCAAGACCTTAAAAAGAAGGAAGTCAAAATAATCTACCCTAAATGATTTAGATATTTACTGCTTTAATGCAGGGGACTCAGAGAAGATTTTTTTAAATCCATTTTAATGTAGACCCTGGTTGATACAGGAGATATTTAAGCAGGCTCACTTGGCTAGTGGCCCATTGGAGAAAGCTGGGAGGGAATTTCCCAGAGACCTCGGTGTATAGAAGTATGGATTCCCCTGGTGAATTTTCAAGGTCCAGGGTCTGACTCTTGACCTTGTGACCTCATATACCTAATTTTATCATCATACAATGAAACAAATTACCTCTTGGGGTAGACTCTAATTAACTAAGATCATGAAACTGAACAATAAAATCAGAGTGAGAATTCATGAGTAATATAACTGTCACACAAACCAGGCTGAACAAATACATTTTCTTACTATAGCCAAGATTCATGGGAAGTTGGCAAAGATGAAATCAGAAGTTTTGTTAGATGTAACAAAAGTTTAATGAAAACAAGCTAATAACCTTGATGTATCTGCTGTCCATAGGGATGATTTTGCCAAAAACATAATCAAAGACCTTTGGGTTCTAATCCTTGAGGTTTATACCAGCTATTAATGTTTTGCTTCTCAGCTTCAAATCCACCCTTCAATGCCCTGCCATTTCTCCCTGGCCAGCTGGTATGATGTGAGCTTCAACAACAGAGTGTGAGTTGGAGGGACACTGGAGAAGGAAGAGGCTTTTCTTCCTGATGCTGGGGTGCTCTCTTTGTTCCTGCAGCACCTGCTCATCTCCAATTAGTCCCAGAGGCACCATCCCCATGGATGCCTTCCCAGCAAGTTTAGTGTCATGGCACCTCTCCACAGGGGTTCTTGGCACCCCAGAGGGCGTCTTCTCACTGTGTTCAGCATCACAGCACACACACCCTCCCCCTGCACCTCATGAATGGCTTTCTTGGCACCCTTAAGTGCAGCTTCCCAGAAAGTTCTGGCAGCACAGCACTTGACTGAATATCTCCATCCAGCCATCCAATGGACCACAGCTGTGCCCTCTCCAAGTTCTGGATCTCCGCTCTGACAGGGGAGGGGCAGATGTGGTACTCTGTCACAGATGTGCTCCTTCCTTGGGTACTGTGCCTCAGCCCTAAAGATTCCCTATATATGTTATCCCTGTATTCTTTAGGGTTGTTTTCTTTAACTACTTAGTAACTAACCTCATTATAGTCAATAATTCATTTAAAATTTTTTTCTAAGTTTATTTAGTTTGAGAGAGAGAAAGAGAAAGAGAACAAAGGAGGGGTGGAGAGAGATGGAGAATCCCAAGCAGGCTCCACACTGTCAGCACAGAGCCCAATGTGGGGCATGATCTTACAGTTCATGACCTGAGCCAAAGAGTCGGATGCTTAACCAACTGAGCCACTCAGGCACTCCTATAGTCAGTAATTCTTTATATTCAACTTTCCCTGTTCAAGTTACTAGGTAGTTTCTATTACTGATATATTCTTCATCTCCATCTTAGAGACTGCCTTGCCAGTGGACCATAATATAAAAAAAAAAAACAAAAAAACCCAGTATATTGGTCTTTGAATATTTTGGGTATTAGAGAATTTTATTAGAGACCTTAATTCTTAACCCAAAGTTAGAAATTATCTTGGAATTTCAGATTCTAGGCAAAGCCAATGTAAGAATATTTCAAGGCATGAAGGGGGCCTTTCCTCCAGACTTAATGAAGCCACAAATGAAGGTCATTAGGAAAATGCACTATGCCACAGATGATAGCCCCACCATCATCCTCACCCTAAATAGACTATGACTCCTCACCTCCCTCATGGGATCCCTGGGACTCTTGAGTCTCACTCTTGCACTGGTTCTCCAAGGGCTGGAGCTGTATACTTAGAGCTTTCAGTGCTCCTATGGATGTCATTTCCTTCCAGATCATTCCTTGGCCATGAGCTGTGTCCTAGGAGTAATCAAGTACCAGCACTATGATTCTGAGGATACAGAAGAAAAAAAACAAAACAAAACAAAACAAAAACCCTAGAACAGTGGGACAAGGCAGCTGGAGCCAGAAATTCATTCAGAGGACTAGAAAAAAAACAACAGGACTGAAAGTCCTGGTGCCTTGGCCCCAGACAAAGGATAGCCCCAAAGACAAAAAGTTTGTAACTTTCTGATAGCTACATTAAGACCATTCATAATGGCTTCCCTATTAACTTAAATAGGTAAAACAAAAACACCTACTTCTTACCTGTTGCCTTGGTTCGTCAAGCTCCTTCTCCAGCTCCTCCAGCATAGTCACAGCTTGCTCTCCGTTCTCGGGCCGTTGCTCTCGCAGCCAGGCCTGCAGCTCCTCAGGCAGGATGGCCAGGAACTGCTCCAGCACCAGCAGCTCCAGGATCTGCTCCTTGGAGTTGACCTCGGGCCTCAGCCACTGACGGCAAAGCTCCTGGAGCCGGTTCAGAGCCTCGCGGGGCCCAGCAGAGTCAGAGTAATCAAAGTGCCTGAACCGCTGGCGGAAGGTCTCCAGACCACAGGTGTCTCCCTGAAGGCCAAAGTCCTGCCCCCAAACATAATTCTCTTCTTCAACCTTCACAACTATAAGTCCTTCTTGTTCTTTTGGAGCATGGTTGGCCAAGGCTGCAGCTTCTCCTGACATTCTGGGCAGAAACAGCCTAGAAATGCTGCCCAGTTGAGGCAGGGAGGGAATGGAAGTCTGTGCCTAAGAATTCCTCCTGAGGTGGACAATGTGGAAAAAGTGTGTTTAGAATACAAATACAGGATTTTGAAGACCAGTTGCCAGACAGTGACTAAAGAAAAGTGACTAAAAGGGAGCTTCTATATAAACAATACAGGAATGCCTGGCTGGCTTAGTCAGTAGAGTGTGCAACTCTTGATCTCAGGGTCATGAGTTTGAGTACCATGTTGGGATGGAGCTTACTTAAAACATAAAAATAAAATAAAAAATAAAAATAAATAAATAATACATTAATGGTGATTCAGGATTTTTTCTAAATATGAAATAGAACATTCAAGAATCACCAAAACCAACCTTTGGAAATAATCCCAGCGTTAACATAGCAGATAACAAATAGTGCTTTTAGATCTTGGAAAGCAGGAAAAACACTGTAGTATATTACTACTTCTCAGAATAATAATCACCATTTATTTGAGGACTTACTAGATGCCAAACATTAGCTGGATTAATTGAACATAAATTTATTTAATTTCCCTAATAATTCTATAAGGACAATCATATATTATGCTCATTTCTAAATGAGGCTACTGAGAAGCAGAAGCTGACCAAAAAGATATGTAGCCTGTAAGCAGCAGAACCAGATTCTGCAACAAGAGTATTGAGCTCTATTACTCATGGGGTCTCCCCCAAAGAAGGGAATTTGCACTTAATAAACACCTATTGGGGCACCTGGGTGGCTCAGTCGATTAAGCGTCTGACTTGGGCTCAGATCATGATATCACAGTTTGTGGGCTCGAGCCCTGAGTCAGGCTCTGTGCCGACAGCTCAGAGCCTGGAGCCTGCTTCAGATTCTTTATCTCTCTTTTTGCCCTTTTCCTGCTTGCACTCTGTCTCTCTCTCTCTCTCTCTCTCTCAAAAATAAATAAACATTAAAAATAATTTTAAGATGGGGCACCTGGGTGGCTTAGTCAGTTAAGCGTCCGACTTTCGCTTAGGTCATGATCTCGCGGTTCGTGGGTTCGAGCCCCACGTCGGGCTCTGTGCTGACTGCCAGCTCAGAGCCTGGAGCCTATTTTAGAGTCTGTAACTCCCTCTCTCTCTGACCCTCCCCTGCACACACTCTCTCTCTCTCTCTCCCTCCTAGAAATAAATAAAACATTTAAAAAAATAATAACAATTTTAAGATATATAGTGGCATCTGGGTGGCTCAATCGGTTAAGCTTACAACTCTTGACTTTGGCTCAGGTCAAGATCTCATAGTTCGTAAGTTCCAGTCCCACATCAGGCTCTGCCTGCTTGGAATCTCTCTCCCTCTCTCTCCGCCCACCCCTCTCTCCTGGCTTGCTCTCTCCCTCTCTCAAAAAGAAAATAAATAAACATTTAAAAAAATTTACCTGTTATGGGAGGGACACTTTACAAACACTATTTTACTGGGGTTTGACAATAATACTATGTGGTAAATATTATCATCCCCATTTTGCTGATGAAGAAACTTAGATTTTTTAAAGTTATGTAATTTAGGGGTGACTCGGTTGGTTGAGTGTTCAACTCTTGATTTCGGCTTGGGTCATGATCCCAGGGTCGTGGGATCAAGCCCTGCATCAGGCTCCACACTGAGCATAGGGCCTGCTTAAGATTATATCTCTCCCTGTGCCCTTCTTCCCTGCTTGCGCTCTCTCGCTCTCTCTAATAAAATAAAATTAATAAAAAAGTTAAGTACTTTACTCAAGGCCCCAACCTAGTAAATAGCAAAACCAAGATGTGAACTTAGGATTGCAAGACTCTAAAGCACTTGTTTTTTATTCCAGATAGGGGTTAACCCAGGACAATCTTGGTTGATACTATTTATTTTAAGTGATTTTCTGCCCTCAAAAACTCCATAATGTGGGAGAGCAAAAGGGAAACTGGCAAATACAGTGTGGTAAATCCAAGAATAGAGGGAAGCAGACAAGGTAACACAGAGAAAGACAACTAAGACCAGGGAGACTTGCCTGCCTGCGGGAGACACATCAGCAGAGTCTGATAACAGTAAGCCTAAGCCAGGTGAAGATGTAAAGTAAGGTCACTCAGTCAAAGACAACAGTGGGTAGAAGATATGGCCCACTGATGAAACTGCAGGTGTTTTAGGATGGCCAAACTAGAGGTTGTCTCCTCTGACTCAGAATCAGGCATGGAGCACGGGCCCCAAGACAGACTTCCTGAAGTCAGAATCTCTGTGGGTAACGTTTCAATAAGTGCCCCAAATGCTTCTGATGTAAAGCCATGGTTTAAAAAAAAAAAACAAAAAACAGGCTGGAGAGCCTGAGCCTGAGCATAGTTAATAGTGAGAAAAGAGACACCTACAGAGGGTCTGACAGGCTGTATTGCAGAGTTTGCATTTGATCCGCACAGGGATGGCCACGGGGATGGCTGAAATGTCTGTCAGCGCACTCCGGAAGGAGTGTGGAGAAGAGACAGAAAGGGGTCTGTTGCTACCACTTGGGCAAGGAAGTCCTGAGCTATGGGAGCCAAAGATAAAGATAGGAGATTTGAAAGGAGAGTTAGGTACAAACTGGATAAGGGTTTGGAAAAGAGAGGAGTCAAGGACTTGGGTTTCTGGCTGGTGCTAGACACTGAAATGATGGTGGTATCATCATGTCTTAAGCTATTTATGACAAAATTAGGTCTGAGATACCTACAAAGCAGCGTTTCCTAATCAGAGAAATTCAGGAATATTTTCCCTCTTAATTTTTTTAGTATTTGAAAAATACTAAACACATTTCTTTAGTTATTATGTGATAATTGGCATTTAAGAAATCCCCTAACAATGCATCATCAGATCTGTGCATCGTTGTGTTCATAGCATTTATCAAGGGTTGCATCCTTTACTTAGTGACCACTGGTCTATGTCATGGATCTTGCCCTTTAATTTCAGTATGTTGGTGATACTATTAAGTTCTTATTATAAATACTGTGCTTCACCAACTTGTGCTCCATGGGTATGTGACTGAAGGGAAGTTTTCCATCATAAAGCATTGTCTCTCTTCCTTCTCCATCTCCTTCACAGGACCACCCTCCTCTACACTGAGTTCCATAGGCTAGCCATTAAGTCTACCACTGTTTTCATTGTCTCCCAGGCATCTGTACTCTGGATCTCTCATCTGAGCACCAGCCCTATTTATTCACTGTTTCTCACTCCCATAATGCCTCTTGATTTTCTCAAAAGGACCTCAAACAGTACATTCATGAGCAACTGATGATTCCTCCCACTCCAGATCTGCTCTTCTCCCAGGAGCCCCTCTTAGGAAGTAGGAACATCCATCTGGCTGCACTCCTAGAAACCTGAAAGCATCCCTAACACCTCCTTCCTGTATTTAATGCAGATTAAGCCCTATTGATTTTATTGCCTATCTCCAGAATCTGCCCTTCCCCATCTCTGCCACCCCCATTTTCATCCCAACAACCATCCTCTCACACTATACAGTAACACACAGTCTGCTCATACTGTAACCAACCTTTTCAAATTGCAAATCTTATCCTGTTCCTCTGACCAGTTTTTTAAAAAGCAAAAGCAGAAGCAAAAACAAACCCTTAGCCAATCTCTCTCTGATTGTACTCATCTCATTTTACAGATGCCTGACCTGTACCCCCAGCCTGAGTCAGAACCTCCTATGTGGGGTTTTATATTTATAAAACATTCTGCAAGTAATTCTGATGTGCAGGCAGGGTTGGGTCAGTCAAGGAGTCATAAGAGACACAGTCAAAGAGAATTTTGATCCTTTCCCTCAGAGCGCTTCTCTCATTTTGCCAGTTTTTATGCTTTAGTGGGACTATTGGGTTAATATCTACCTTCTCCACAATAAAAACTGTAAGTTAAATCAACATTTTTGCTTACTATTTTATCACTATCACTCAATCCAATGCACAGCACAGAACACACACACACACACACACACACAAAACACACACAAATGATAACCACTATAGTAAAAAAAAAAAAAAAAAAGAGTTCAAAGAGGCAGTGGTCAGCACTGTCAAATGCCTAATAAGGACTAAAAAATGTGTCCATGGCACTTCTCATAGTGCAGGAAGATGACTTAGCTCACAGGAAGAACACCAGCTTTGGAGTCAAGTGATACAACAGTTTGGAATCATGGCACAGCCTCTTACTAGCTGTGTGACAGCAGTCACCATCCAAACCTTTCTAAGAGTCCATTTCCTCTCCTAAAAATGGAGTTAATAATACTTTCATTGCAGTGTTATTATAGGAACTGGAAGAAACATAAGACATCTAGAGTAGTGCGGGTTGTATTAAGCATATCTTTTTATTCTGTTGTTTTCACATCTGAGCCTTGCTTTCACTGCAGGACTGTGAAATAAACTAGATTCCTAGAGATTGCCAGGGATAATAAACTCACCTACATGTGTGCTTTTCATATGCAAACAACCCAGAGCCCACACCACCACCTCCTCTGTACTGGGCTGTCACATCCAGGGCCACCACGCTCCAGCCCTAATCACTGAGGGTCAGAGGCCATAAAATTAGGGACAAGCCCTATGCTTCAGAGCACACAAACTATTCAAACTAGCCAATCTCAAACCTGTTTACCCTGCCTCGCCCATTCCTTCCCACAGAAACTACAATATAGGCTTCTGCCCCCTTTCCCCTCACCTGGCATCCTGACTGATCCTGTGATTTCACTATGTGACCATGTGGGGCATTGCATGACTCCTCCTCTTGGAAACTATGAGCAACAAATTATCTTTTCAGTGGCAATCATCTCCTGATCTGTTGGCCTCAACATAGCTAAATAATAATAAAACCCATTTTAAAGCACTTGGCCCATAGCAGGTTCTCAATGCACAGTAGTTAAGGGACAAGGGAAAGGCAAATCCACATCACAAGGCATGGGTTATAGAATAGGCGTGATTGGGGAAACTTACCAGCTAGGGGTCAGTGAAATGAGCACAGATCCTGTGATGCTTCCATCATCCCACAAAAGGGAAGTCTGGAGAGAGGTGCTGCTGTTTCAGGGAAGAGCTCCTTTCA